AAGTCACGCATCCCAAGTAAGACTCCCCTCCTCTTGAAACGACACAGAGATGCTAGGCTAAAATTCGTTAGAGAGCATAAGGATAAAGAATATTCGTTTTTGGAAAAAGTACTATGGACAGATGAAACTAAAATAGAGTTGTTTGGTCATAATTATCGAAATCATGTGTGGAGGAAGGACGGTGAAGTCTACTTAGCAAAGAACACGTTGCCAACTGTAAAGTTTGGTGGTGGCAGTATCATGATCTGGGACTGTTTTTCTGCAAGAGGTGTTGGCAGAATATCAAGAATAGATGTCAAGATGAATGCCGAAAGCTACCAGAAAATCCTGCAAGACAATTTAATGCGTTCTGTTGAGAGACTTCGACTACCTCCTGATTGGGTTTTCCAACTGGATAATGATCTTAAGCATACCGCTAGATCTACAAGGAAATGGTTAGCTGAAAGTAACGTTGATGTCTTGCAATGGCCAAGTCAGTCCTCAGATTTGAACCCAATCGATAATTTATGGCGATATTTGAAAATTCAAATTGGGAAAAGAGCACCAACAAATATCAAGAATTTGAAGACAATATGCCAAGAAGAATGGGACAAAATACCACTCAATTTATGCAAATCATTAGTTGAGACGTACAGGAATAGACTGGTAGCTGTTGAACTCAATAAAGGATTACTATTATTATTATTATTATTATTTTTATTTTCTTTGATTTCTGGCGTTTACACATTTCTTTCCGGGTCCCGCCCAGGGACCTAAGATTAGAAATGGCAGCATGACACTTTCCACTGACAAAAAAAAAAAAAAAAATTACATAGATAAAGCCCTTCGTAAAGAGTGGGCTGTACTTGTGGGAACAATTTTTTGTATCTCTTTGAGGCATGGATTTCCAGGAATCCCTTCAATTAGTTTGCTGCAATCTTTTCCAACCAGTCCTAGGGCTCCAACTACAACAGGGATTGTTGATGTTCCCATATGCCACATTTTCGAGATTTCTATTTCAAGGTCCTTGTATTTTGACAACTTTTTGAATATCTTCAAAGATACATTGCAGTCAGCAGGGACTGCCATGTCAATAAAGAGGCACCGTTTTTGTTTGTGGTCTTTAATAACAATATCTGGGCGGTTGGCTTTGATTGTTCTGTCAGTGTGTATTGTGTAGTCCCATAGAATTGTAACAGGTCCTATCTCCGTAACCGGATCTGGGTGGTGTTCATACCAGTTTCTTTCAGTTTCCTTCCCGTAGAAGTTGCAGATTTTCCAGTGCAGATAGTGGCCCACTCTGTCATGTCGGGTTTTATATTCAGTGGGTGCCAACATCGTGCAACCTGATACAAGATGATCAATCGTTTCTGGATATTTATCACAGAATCTGCAGTTTGGGCTGACACAATATTTTTGTATATGTGCTTGATAATTCCTAGTTAGCAAGCATTGGTCCTGCGCAGCAAGGATAAAACCTTCAGTTTTCGCTTTCAACCCTGCACTACGTAGCCACTGATACGGGTTTTGTCTACGTCAACTTGTTTGGTACGGGCAGAGTATTGGCCATGAAGCGGTTTATCTTGCCATCGCTTCTGTATCTGGTCGGATGCATTCGTCTTTGCTGTCTTTTTTAAGTATTTTGCGGTTTCAGTCGGTGTATTGTGCTGTAGTCGAATCTCTACGCCCATTTGAAACTCCATTTTGAATTTGTTGGCTTCTTTCATTACGGAGTGAAGACGCTTACTACTTTCATGTTCCTTGACGCATACCATCATCCTGTCTTCTGTAGTTTCCAAGTATCTTTGGAGGCCAATTGTTGTAGTTTTGTAGGACAGTTCTAGTTGAACTAATCCTCTGCCTCCTTCGGATCTGGGCACATACAGACGATCAACATCAGCTTTGGGATGATGCATGCGATAGCAAGTGAGAATCTTTCTCGTTTTGGCGTCCATTCGCCTAATTTCAGTTATGGTCCAGTTAAGGACATTAAAGCTGTATTGCACCACAGGGACAGCCAATGTGCTTATGGCTGATATTCTGTTTTTTGAGTTTAGCTCAGTATTTAGTACCTGACGTACACGCATGTTGTACTCTTTTCTTATTTTTTCCTTCATTTGGGGGTGTTGTATGCCATCTCCTTCGCTAATTCCTAGGTACTTATAAGCTTCATCATGCTCCAGTTCCCTAATCTTTGTGACAAAATCTAAATCTATTAAGGGTGTTTCTGTAATTCTACCTTTCTTGAATGTTACTTTTGCACATTTATCTAATCCGAAGTCCATACCTATGTCGTCACTGAAACATTTTACAATATTGAGGAGGCCTTTCAACTCATTGTCGTCTTTGGCAAAGAGTTTGAGATCATCCATGTAGAGTAGGTGATTGAATATTTTCTTATTTATTTTGTAACCATAGCTACTGTTGTTCATTTCATGCGTAAAGGGTATTAAGGACAAACAAAACAGAAGGGGTGACAGAGAGTCTCCTTGAAAGATTCCATGTCGGATATTTAGACGGTTGAATATGGCAGTGTCTCTGGTGTGACTAAGGTATAGTTTGGTGTTCCACATTCCCATGCTGTGCTTAAGGGAATTTAATACCACAGGGGAGACTTTATTCATTTTCAAAGTCTTAAGGATCCAAGAATGTCGAATACTATCAAAGGCTTTACGATAATCAATCCACGCTGCGCTAAGATTTCTACGTCATCTCCTGCAATTTTCCAGGATCATTTTATTTATCAGGAGTTGATCTTTGCAGCCATATGAACCTCTCCTGCATCCCTTCTATTCCAGGGAAAGAATGCTGTTTGTTTCAAAAAAGGAATAAGTACGATTCGTCAGGACAGACGTGATCAACTTATACGTTGTGGAGAGACACGTTATCGGTCTATAATTTTTCGGGTCGTCTGTTTCAGTTGTTTTTGATATGAGGTATGTAACACCTTCAGTAATCGATTCCGGGATTTTATTGGGATGATTTACAAGCGTTGATAATGTTTTTGCAAGAATTTCATGGGTAGATGAGAGATGATACCACCAGAAATTGGGCAACTTGTCATTTCCTGGGGATTTTCATTTTTGGGATTTCGTTAGAGCTTGCCTAACGTTATCTGTGGATATATTTTCCCATTCTTGCAGAGGTGTATACAGCGTTCGTTCTTCTTCACGCCGTATCCATCCTGCATTTGGGTTATATTCCTTTGGGCTGCTCCAAATATTTTCCCAAAATGTCTGTACATTATCAATCGATGGTGGCCTTTCGACATGCATAGGTGTTTTTCCAATTTCCCTGTAAAATTTCTTAAGATCTGTTCGGAATATTTTATTTTGGCGATAGAACCTACAACGTTTTTCGTATCGTCTTCTTCTCTGTGCCTTTAGCTGAAGTTTCTGCTTCAGCATTTTCTTTGATTGATGGAATATCAATTAGGGATTTAATGTTATATTTCCGCTTGATCTTTTTGCATTTACGTGTGGAAATATTAGGGTTTCTGGTGAGCTCATCAAATATAGAAAGCTCACATCTGATTTGTTTTATTTCTCGTATCAGTTTTGCTTTCCAAGCTGGTTCACAGTGTCTGTTAATTTTATTTATTGTCTTGACTCAAGCTTCCGAGTCGCTGCTAAAAAGTGTTGCGTATATGACGTTGTTAACTTCTGTGATGTTTCCCGGTGGTTTATCTGTTAACAGTGTTTGCAGAGCAGCATTGTATATTTTCACGATGTGCTTGTTGGAATTCGTCATATGGATTTTTGGGAGCTGGTCTCTGTCTGATAATTGTATGAAAGTTACTCTGCTGAGTACTTGGATGACGTCATTTTTCGCTTCGGTGATTTCAGCTTCGTGGTTTTCAAGGAATTCTAACTTATTGTCACTGAAGATGACTCCAGGTACAGTTTCTAGAGGACTGTAGGTTGTGTTTAAGGTAGAGTCTTGGGTTTCATTTCCTGGGAGATTATTTCGTATTTCATTCGCTTTAGCGTCCACCTCATCCTCTGTCGCATTCCTTATTTCTACATTCGTCTCAATAGAGTTTGAGTGATGGTTCATAGTATTTTGTCTTATATCTAATTTTATCTTATCTATTTCTGCCTTTGAGAGTCTGTTGTTTCGCATGATGTCTCTACATTGGCAAGCATGTTTGGATTGAGGTTAGGTCTGATATCATTATTATTATTATTATTATTATTTTCTTTCATTTAATTTCTGGTGTCTACTCATCTTATTCCGGGTTTCGATCGGTAATCTAAGGTTAGAAATGGTATAATGATATTTTCCAATGAGAAATTTATCATTATTATTATTATTTTGCGTTTAAGTGCGTAAAAGATATTCCTTTATTGGCCGGCTGGCATATACAATAACTAGCACACACACACACACACACATATATATATGTATGTTAAGAAATGGACAAGGTCCGACAATTTATTTATTAAAGACATTTTTTATGTTTAACGTTGTTATTTATAGATACAAGTATTTAAGCAAATGCTCTGTTTATGATAAACAGTATTAAATAACATTTACCGGCCTGAATGTCCGAGAAATTTTCATAGAAAATATTCGTTCTTTGACAGGATTCGAACCTGCATCCTATACGGAACCGTCATATACGCTGACGTGCCTTAACCGTCTCGGCCACATTTGTTTACATTCGATACGCCAGAGCAGTTATGAATGTACGAGTTTCATGGAAGATTGAAGTTTATAAACAGTAAATTCGACCTTGTTTACCATAAGGTTCTTTGTGGCCCAGAGGTTAGGCACGTCAGCGTAGATGACGGTTCCGTATAGGATGCAGGTTCGAATTGTCAAAGAACGAATATTTTCTATGAAAATTTCTCGGACATTCAGGCCGGTAAATGTTATTTAATACTGTTTATCATAAACAGAGCAATTGCTTAAATACTTGTATCTATAAATAACAACGTTAAACATAAAAAATGTCTTTAATATATATATAGAACATATTTGTTGGAAAGTAATATAATTCTAATTATTTTATATTGCAGAGTATTGCCTGTCAATGTTTTGCTACGAAAAATTATGGTAAGTAATTATTTAAATACATTTCTGCAAATATATAAAAGTTTTTCATTTATTTCTGTGATGTGTATGTAAGGTAAAAGTTATCATGACTATAAGGGAAATCAAGGAAAAATGTTTAAGTTTTGGCAGAAATGGTGGCGTTAACTTCTCCCCCCACCAAAAAAAAAAAAAAAAAAAGAAGAAATCTGTGGAGAAGACAAAGGGAAAACACTCCCTATATTCCCTATGAAGTCATGGCAATTCACAGATAATTAAGAAATGGAATCGTGACTCTTCTTTGAATTCCATGGTGCCAGCTCCTATGATCGTCTGCTAACAGTTTCCATCTACCAAAGTCGATGCCTGTGAGATACAGATCCTCTTGCTGACGTCCTTGAAACATGGTTTAGGGCGGCCTACCGGATAGTGTACCGTGGTCTGCTTGTCGTACATATATTTTGGTAAACGGCTGTCATTTCTTCGATGTACGTGACAAAGCCATCGAAGATGACGTAGACAAACGAGAAGACGCATGCTCCACGACTCTGATTACGCCAGCACAACAGTGTTTTAGTTTTTAATGCACCTATAATTACCAGATTTTATTCTAATTTTTATAATTAATACTGGGTTTGATGGTAGGCATTAATGAGTTAACAAAGAAGTGTAGACGCAGTAACTCTGAATTTATGTGCTTATGCGGTATATATACGACGAGATATCAGTATTACACATGTTTCCAAGGAACAAGATATTAGTATTCTAGCATACCTATAAACGATAATGGGTACGTCCCCATTCACTTAAATAGAGTAGTAAATACTGTATGTTGGTATAGAGGTGGCGTTTCATTGCGGAATTTACTTGACCCGCTTCTAGCAGTTGACTGCTTCTTCTACGCACCGATGGCAAATCTTATATGTGTTGTTCTTGTTCTAAGTATTATCGTTCATTATCAACCTTCTTTTGATTATTCTATTCAGTAACCATCCCTAGGTTACAACAATTAGGCAAGTCAAAACATTTATTTCATGAGAGTAAAAAATAAAAATTTGACTGTGTAAAGGTCCGCCTTTTGCTGACCGCATAGTCTGATGTACATTTTGAAACAAGAAAAATAATATTTTCACGATAGGCTGCAGAGAAGCGTTTGGGAGGAAGGAAAAGGAAGAGAAGGTTTTCTTTCTGAAAGAATGGCTTTATAAAAAAAGCTGATCATCTACCGCGGTTATTAGATTTCTGGCTACTACTACCAAACACTTCTCTATAGACAATCTTTTGTGTCGGAGACTAAACAAACTACAGTGCCAACTTCAGAATCTTTCGATGTGCGTAGAGTGTATATATGCATGTGACAAAAATACGGAGAAAGTAAGTTGGTAAAACTATTTCTTACCTTAGCACTTAGTTACATGATGTTCCTCGTGTAAAACCTACAGTCACGTGACACCTGCACATCTAAGTAAAATAGCGTCCCACACTTGACAGTTTTTACTTATTTTATCCACGTCGGTATGTGAATATATATATATATATATATATATATATATATATATATATATATATATATATATATCCTCAGCGGCAGCTCGAGTTTCATGCACAACGCAATTTTCAGGTCCTGAGTTGAGACTAACCATTGTATAATTTAAATTTTGGTAAATATATCTGGTTATGATGAGGCAGTCCATAATTTATACTAGGACTGATGTTTTGCATTTAAAATAACTGTAACTAATAATAATAATAATAATAATAATAAAGCATTGTTATATTGCATCGAACATTATTTAACACCAGCTCTGAATGTGCGATATATATATATATATATATATATATATATATATATATATATATATATATATCCTTTTAAATGTTATTTGAGTAAGCGCTCCGTTCATTTATTAAACAGTATATTTATTTTCGTCTACTGGCTTGAATGTTCGAGAAGTCATATTAAAGAAAGATTTTGCGCTCTCCGACAGGAATCGAACCTGCATCCTTCAGGTCAGCGTGAATTACCGTTTAGCCCGGTACGCCTTACCATCTTGGCCACGAAGAGCAGACGGCGAAGCTAAATTTCGTGCTTTCAAATCTCGCCTGACTGACTGCCCTTCTATTAGCATAGAACAGTTACATCCGGGAAATTCAACAGTGAAATTATGAGACCTGGCTGCGCTTAAATTTTTGAAGTCGAGGGACAAATGAGGGAAGTTCAGCAGAACAATTACTCATGAAAATACGTATTTATAGAAAAGCCACAGGGGAAATACTAGAAAGCAGTGGGGAAATGACTGAAGCCGAGATGCCAGGTCATGGCCGGTAACATTGCAGATACTTCTTCGGTTTTATTTACACATATGTGTAACATTTACCGGCCTGAATGTTCCTAGACATTTTCACAGAAAATATTCGTCCTCCGATAGGATTCGAACTTGTATCATATACGGAACCGTCATTTAGCTTGACGTGCCTTTAACCGATTTGGCCACAGAGGAGCGTTCGGTTAGCATGGTCGAATTTACTGTATTTGAACTTCAATCGGTTAAAGGCACGTCAAGCTAAATGAGGGTTCCGTATAGGATACGGGTTCGAATCCTGTCAGAGGACGAATATTTTCTGTGAAAATCTCTCGGACATTCAGGCTGGTAAATGTTGTTTAATACTGTTTATTATAAACAGAGCATTTACTTAAATATTTGTATCTATAAAAAGAATGTATAAACATAAAAATGTCTTAAAATAATTGTCGGACTTTGTCCATTTCATAATATATTTGTATGTGAACGTGATAGAAATACATATTTCGGTTCCATTTCCTTTTTTACTTTACTTATTATATTTCATATGCTTTTATACTTTGAATTTCTTTCTGTTATTATTTCTGAATAAGGAACACGCCTTGGAGAATTATGCAACTACAGAAGAATTTGCCTGGATGTAAACGCGAATTGTAAGGGACAAGTTATATATGGAAATTTGCTAAAGAGAAATGAACATACTCTAAAGTACAGATGTGAATGCAAATACTTGTACGAGGAAATTGAAGGAAAATGTCAGAGTGAGTCCCCCTTTTTTTGCTGATTTTTTCTTTTTTTTTCTTTTTTCATCTTTTCTTATTTCCTTCTGTTTTCCTCGTTTTCTTTTTTCTTTTCTCTCTTTCTCTTTTTCTTATTTTTCTTTTTGTCTTCTTTTTTCTTCCCTTTTTCTTCCTTTTTCTTTTTTTTTCTTTATCGTCATTTTTTTCATTTTTCTTCTCTTTTCATTTCTTTTTCTTTGTTGTTGTTCTTTCTTTTCTTTTTTTTTTTTTTACTTTTCTTTTCTTTTTTTTTTTTTTTCTATAACCTAAAAAATTTGGTTTGCCGATGAGTGGAACTTTTTCGTTTCGTTTTTCGGCATGTGATCACGGACTGAAAAATATTTTTATGTTTTATTATTTCATTAATGTTTTTTCTATATGCCGTGCTCCTTTAGATCATGTGTGATCATGGCTCTCCACATTTTCCTATTCCTTCTGGTCCTTAACCGTTTTTTCTACTTTTGCTAAAGCTCCCGCTCTTGTTCTACAATCCCTTCACAAAACCTCGTAAGTTTGGTGTCCTTATTTTTCTTGCCCTCAAAATGCTCTATGAGGGGGTAAGTTTTCTAAGATCTCTTCCCATATTGTGTTCAAGGAATTTCTGCTGTCTCTTTCTGCTACTGAGTATAAGTGTTTTGTTGCCGTTTTCTTTTATTTTTACTCGCTCCCTCCATGGAATTCTCAGTATCCTTCTGTAGAACCACATTTCTGTTGTCTCTATTTTTCTCATCATGCGTGGTTAGATTGCTCAGAATGCATTTCCCTATAAGAGGATTGATATCCCATCCAGTACTCTTTTCTTTGTTTCTAACGAAATTGTTTCTGTTTTTAAGCTTATATTTTGGAATGCGACTTCTGCTAATCTAAAGGGTGTTCGTATTTCAGTGTCACATTTTTGATCCATTGTTTAAACACTTCCCAGATATTTAAACTTCTGTATTTGCTTGATGTTGATACCTCCACTACGTAAAATCCTTTCCAAATAGTTATATCGTAAAACAGAAGTCCTACCGGGATTCATTATTGACGGCCACAATCTTAAAATAAGATATGCAGATGACACAACGTTGATAGCAGAGACAAAAAGGTAGTGAAGGAAAGTACTAAAAAGCAACAAAACAAAATGTGTGGTTGCTAGCAAAAGGAACAGCCGAAAATACAAATTGCAAATTAGGGATACCAAATTACAATATGGAGATATCAAAAACAATTACAACAATTTCAATATCTGTAAAGTGTTTTAACAGAGGACGGAAAGCGCGACATTAAAATCCGAAAGTGCATTGGGGATAGCGAAATTTGTCTTCCAAAAGATAAGCAAATTATTAAGAAACAGAAAAATGTCGTTCGAAATAAAGGAAGGAATACTGAACTATTATATAATATTAGTCCTCCTATATGACAGCGAATGCTAAGCAATCTCCTCACAGACGAAGAAGAGACTTGAAGTAACACAAATATGAAGGATACTGAGAATACATGTGAGCAATATCGAAGTTTTAGACAAAATGGAAATATAAAGGACACTTATACTTAACATAAGGAAGAAAGAGTTAAAATTTTGAGGACACATAATTAGGACTTGGAAATTTGATATCCAAAAGACAAATTGAAGGTCAAAGGGATAGAAGAAAACTACGCATAACCAATCTAGCTAGCTTGAGTAAATGGATGAAGAAAAAGTTTTAGGAGAGCTAAAATGAAGACAAAATTGATTAAGAGTTACACAGGACAGGAAATTGTGGAGAGGTATCATCACCAACGTCGCGAAGGAACACGACATATAGAAAAAGAAGAAGAAGAAAAAGCAGCTATTTCTTTATCTCGTTAGATATAGGTAGCGCCATGTTTGGGCCAAATTCAATCCGTTTGTGAGCAGCGTCTGGAACAGCTTAACAGTTCAATCTTTGCAAGCTGGAATGTAAAATAAAGGTCCTATATTGCTCTCTCTGCTTCCTGCATTATCTTCTGAACTGTAACATTTGTTTTTTTGCCCTTCGTGTTTCCTTCTTAAACATCATAGCACCAGCTGCTTCGATCACCTGCTAGCTGTTCTTAGCTACCAGAGTCGATGCCCATGAGTTTCAAGTCTCTATTACAGACGTCCTTGAAACGTTGTACAGGCCGGCCTACAGGACGGTGTCCCGTAACCAGCTCACCATATATGATATCTTTTGGTATAGGGCTGTTACTTTTTTGGAAATTTCTGATAGGTTGTTGGTGACAGTAAAATTCAGATACGTGAAGTGATCTGTGACTTCAAACATCACGTCATCAATGCTTTATGGAGATACAGAAACACCTTGACTCATGACTTTTGTCGTTTTTTATTATTAATAGCCCGGATACCTTATGTGTGTGGTTGAACTGACTAATCAGTTGTTGGAGGTCGAGTTCGGTGTTCATGGTCAGAGCTGCGTCACCAGCAAACAACACTTCTGTGATGACTGTGTGATGACTGTGTGCACTTTCGTCTTGGACCTCAGGCTGGTCAAGTTGAACAGTTTACCATTGCTTCCTGTGTGTAAGTCTACACATACTTTGGATTGTTTGAACGCAAAACTCAGTAACATGGAAAAGATGCCAAATAATGCGCATCCTTATTTTCCGCCACTCTGATTTGTGAAAGGTATTAAAGTTTTACTATCATAGCTGACTACACCAAAGGAGGTGATTATGCCCCGAAACTGTGGGGGGAAAGCCAGTATTCATTAGTAACTGTAACAGACCATTCCTGTTAACCAAGTAGAACATCTTCGAGAGATCGATGAAAGCAGTGTATTATGGCATCTGTTGTTTACATTTCTCCTGGAGCTGACGTAGTGAGAAAATTATGTCACTTGTAGACCGCTTAGCCCAAAATCTAGCAAGGACGCGGAATCGACTTAAAACAACCCGGGCAAGGATTTGTTCAATTATGTTTAACAGGGATATACCCCGGTAATAACTGAAGTCATTGCAGTCGCCCTTGTTTTTATACAGGGTAATTATACTGGCATTGCCCATGCCTTAAGGAAACTTGCTTTCTTTCCAGCAGTGACTGAGAAGAGATCACAAGACTATGGAATGGTTTAAGCAAAGCTGACTTATTACATTTAATGATCTCTAGCAGTCCACCGTCTTCACCTGCTTTTTTTTCTCAAAGAAGCTATAGCATCAAAGGCTTTGTTATGCTCCAGAACTGTCAGGCATTCATTATTATCAAGCGATTCTTAAGTGATGGAATGCTCTACCCATCGTCTCATTTGTTTCTCTTTGTTCATAATTAACCTTTTTGCTTTTGATTTCAAGGCTGCAGACTCCTTTGTCCACCCCCCCTTGTTGCTGTTTATATGCATTTGTACATATTCCGGGTCTTCCCGGTGTCCGGACCCTTTTGGGTGCTAGGCTTACAGCGAACTCACGTTGAACCACCGATTCTCGTGTGATAAACAAAATTAAACAACGCCGAACCTGATCAGTACCTAGATGTGTGGTCGCTTGAGAATACCAGATGCTGTAAGCTTGAATGTACGGATGGTCAGATGAATAACAACTTGAAATTGGAAATCGGAGAGCCGAGTTCCAATTCCAGTTGGGTTCGTTATATTTATTTATGCGCAAATACTTTTGGGAAAGGTATGAATCCCCATTAGCAAAACATTATTTTCTACAAAAAATTCTTACACTCTAAAAATATTTTCTGTCTTCAAACAACCTTGCAAAAGGTTGATAACCCATAGAAAATCAATCAATCAATTAATCAATGTTGGATGCCATTTGACAGTTGAAGCCAGTTGTCATTAGCACAACGACGTTTGCTGAGCTTTGCCACGAACAGATTTCATATCTTGTAGATTCTTTTGGTTGGGGTTACACTAGAATCTAATCAGAGCGCTGTGCTTAGCGTGGATGATTGGCTCTGATGTGAAAATGTTTGCCTCAGTCCAGTCTTCTTTTTCTGCACCTTCTTTTCAGAGATCATGACTGCAGCATTGTAAATGATGTTTCAAATGGAGTTCCATCTTTTCCCACACACTGTAATATGTCACTGGGAAGAATTTTCAACAAACCTCCCTAAGAACTTCTGCTTTTTATCTGGATCTTTTCAGCATTAATTCTCAACTTGTATTTCTTCTTGCCGAAGTTTCTTAGCTTTTAGTTTTACCGTTGGGGAGATAAAGGAATGGTCCGTTTCGAAGTCGGTGCTATGGTAAGCTCTGGTGTTGCAGATGTTCTTTAGAGATTTTCGTTTTACGATCATGTTGTAAAGTAGTTTCACAGTGGAGGCTTCTATTTCACTAAGTCGGTCCTAAAATAGGTTCGACGTACAAAACGTTAGGAACTTCATATAATAGGTAATGACGCAGTAATCAAGTTGTGGTGGCTGATACTTTAATATCCGACTAACGGTCGTCCGACATCGACTGACTGAGCAACTCACTGAGCTACTTAGCGACTGCAACTACTCCTAATTATAGGTGGGAGAGTCTATTAACAATAGAATAGGTGTGTTCAACTATAACAGATCACTAGGCCCAGGATTCATTGAAGCAAGTCATGTTCAGGAAATAAGTGTTTTTTTTTTATTATACACAGTTTGTGATAGCATTAGATCTCTAGACGATTTTGTTAGCATAGTAATTGTGGGCCGATTAATACGGACACTAGTCACAGTGGAAGCAGTAAGAACTGAGCAGTATTATAGAGAAGAACGAGGCATGATATCCCTCGACACGGACAGCAGAATGAGAATAATCTACTCCTGTAGATTAAATAAAGTGTCATTTCAAAATTCCTTGAAGGTTAACCTGATCAATAGACGAATGAAGAAATAGTAAATGGCATCAGTCAGACATTAAATACAGATGGCTCTTTATCCAAGAACTTCAGAGATACTTGTTCTTTATTGTTCTGCCTCCTTAATAGTAGTTAATTTGTTTTCTCATATTCTCTAACAACCTTGCGTTTTAGTGGCTTTATTGCCTTGCCTTGCTTGGTGTGAAATAATTAAAAAAATTCAATTGCTTCTTTCTAATTCTAAGTAGTATCCTTTCCGTTCTCATTTTCCTAAAAAAACTTCCTCGTTATTCACATGTTCTGCTCATAGAATTCTTAGTTTCTTCTTCTATGTGTCGTGCCCCTTCAGGAAGTTGGTGATTATGGCTCTCCACAATTTCCTGCCCTTTGTAGCTCTTAATACCTTTTTTTTTTTTAAATATTTCCCAACCCCTGCTCTGCCACCCATTCTCCAGGTAGGTTGTGCGTTGTTATTCTCTGGTCTTCTTCACTATGTCCCGTGTGTATCAAATTTTCCAAGTCCACTTTCCTCATTATTTCAACTCTTCCTTCCTGGTGTTAATGTCCTTTTTGTTGCCATTGTTTCTATAACTTCCTCGCTGCTCACATGTTCAATCCATGTTATCCTTCGGTAGAGCCACATTTCTGTTACTTCAAGTTTCTTCCTCATTTCAAATTTATTTATCTTCTGTGCAGAAATTTACAGGATTGATGTTACATAGCATTTCAGTGCTGTTTTCTTTTTTATTTACTTCCAGGAAGTGGTATTTTTTCCGACAGTGAAATCATCAGTATTGTTACTGTTATTGTTTTGGTTATTGCAATATCCTTGGTAAGTTATTTGATACTGAAATTCAAGTTTTTAAATTTCGTGTGGAGAGTTAAACTTTTTAAAACCACATATTTAAAGGAAGGCATCATCTCTGCTGGAAACAGATTGCACAACTGACGTGAATTAAGAATTTTAGACATACTGCAATTTTCGGGCTGATGCATTATGAACAACCGATAAATAATCTTAATATATTTGGGAAGGATATTAGAATAATCCAGAAACTATATTGATTGTAAACCGTTTGCATACGGATAGAAAATGAATTCAGTAAATATAAAAATTTCTAAAATAGAGGCTTATCACGTTGAAATACCGATTCCAAGCCGATCACTGAAGTTAATCAACGTCGAGACTGCTCAGTAGTTCGATGGATGACCGCTCGAGGATACCATATGCGCTAAACTTCTTTGGATTTTGTCAAGAACCTCGAGATGAATAACAGAAGCACTAGATTAGATATGGCAACAGTATTCAATCCACGGTTGAATTGTAGATTTGTAAATGTGTAAGATGGACTCTGAGGTGAAAAACGTTCTGGCATGACACAATGGACCAGCTTTCCTTGCAGTAGGTAAAGCTATTAATTCAATGTAGTTCAACTTTAAGTCATTTGTAAAAGTGAACCCAATAAGATGCAGAGAGACGCACATCAGCCATGATGATGGTGGACAGGGAAGTTTCTCTATGGTGCTTTAGTTTTGGAGGCATTCAAATTTACAAGCACATTTCCTGATCCATTTAACCACCAATTTTTCCAAATAACCATTTTTCCAAGAGCAGTGGTCAGGTTAACTGTGTCAGCTCTGACGGATTTGCTATTGAGACAAGAGTAAATGGTAGTGTCATCTGCATAAATGCTTACTTGATGACATCAGGAAGATCAGAAACAGCGTAGTACCCAGGATAGAGCCTTGAGGACACCCTCGTCCGTATGAAAAGATCAGGAAGCGAGCCAATTCAGAACCATCTTCATTTCAGGATTTCGTAGGAATCATTGAATTAAATCAAACAAACGTTCTGTAATATCATAGCTTACGTAGAAGAACAGCATGCCAAACCCTGTCAAACGACTTCGAGATATCTAGAGCCACAGCTCGAACTTCACCGTTATTATGAAGAGTTTGATATACATTTTCAGTGCCAACCGTAAGCACGTCAGCGGTAAACCGGGCAAAACGAAAGTGATATTGTTTTTCAGAGATTAGGTCGTGAGAGATAAGATACTTAACCACTTCAGTGTTGATTAAAGCCCCAAATACTTTGCCGAAAAGCGGTAGGTGACTAATAGGGTGCTCGGGTGCATATTTCTGTAAGGCGATGGCTGGTATTCCGTCAATTCCACTTCCCTTATGGGAGTCTAATTAAGAAATGATGTCCGAGATCAGTGACGGCGTTATGCTCATATTCACATTTGTATTGAGTATGAAATAATAACTTCACTTCCTTCAAATTCATCTGAGCTGAGGAAAAAATTACGGAAAGGAATTCGTGAGTCTATGTGAAATTTTCTTTGGATCAATGAAAACCTCTACTTCACAGAGATTGACCAGCGAGCCGAGAAAAAATAAAAACGGAAATAAACTGGCGAGCCTATGTGGGACTAAAGAAAAACTTGTCTCCACATAAATTAGCGAAACTATTCGGAATTCCTTTTGATATAAAATGAGGATAACATTTAAATTAATAAGAGGAGAGTGTTTGAAGTCATGTGAAAATTTTCTTTTCTGTTCACCGCGACCAGCGTGGAAGTTTTCGCAAGTGTTAAATTAATCGTTAGATATATTATGGGCATTAACCAAACATATGGAACTTCAAAGCATTGTCTTTCAACAAACTAAGAAAGCTAAGTATTTCAAACTATCTTCGTTTACCCTTGAATATATGAAACCGTATATCCCTTTTGTGAGCAACGAACTCAGCTTTGAATTAAACATCTTTTAATATTATCTTACGTCATATCATTTAATCTGTTGTATATTAAATATACAAATATTAAATGTCCTCTTCATGACAATTCATTAAAACTACGGACTTTAAAAATTTCTGCTTTATTTTCCTAAAAACAATTTCAAGCCTGTAAATTCGTAAATAAATTCCTTGATTTGTTAAAAATTACCCCTGTGCTTTCTTGTCATTATCAGCTTCCATTAATTTTCTTGGCGTGGGCAAAGCATCTGTTCATTTTAACCTCTAAGACCCACGCCACTACAAATCTATTCATTCTGTACTGAGATTTTCTATACTATTACATTTTCCATTATCTGTTAAAACTATGTTTCGACCAAATGGATTCGTTTTTTTTCTTCCGAAATTAAGGCAAAACGCTAACCACTGATTTAAAAATATTACCAAAAATCATGGCATTATCAGATTTAAACAAAATTTTCAATAATCATTCGTTGATGAATGAATTGTATTGTCGGAGTTAACTCCTCCTCCTTCACTTCGTAACCCTTTCACCAGGGCCCTCTCTTCCCTGGCTATAAATAGCCGCTGACCCTTGGCCTCTATCTCTTTTTTCCTTCAGGCCTGAGCAGTGATATCGAGGTAAATTTCTCTTATTCCTAGAGGTTTTTCAGCTATCAACCTCGAAATGTAGTCGCTAACAAGGGATAGCGTGGAAACACGCTAAGCCCAATATACACACACGGACGCACATACAGAATATTCACACACGCACGCACACACAGAATATTCACACACCCACATACAGAATATTCACATACAGAATATTCACACACACTTCGTCCTTTGTACTGTTTCCATGTATTGTAACTTGTTATTAATATATATTTGTATATACATATTATCGGTCTTGTTTTGTTTGCTTTTTCTTTTGCCTTCTACTTGATTATTTCTCTTGTTGTTGTCTTTGTTACATTTGATATTGTAAAAAATGTAGAGAGTCGGTTTTTATTTCTATTTATAACTAATACAAATTGGCTGACCCACTATAGTATACTAAATACTTTTTATTTTCTTAGAAAAACTTTGAGTAAATATTTTTGGAGCACCATTTTCACTCCCTTCCACATTTCGATATATGGTGGCTATTTTTATATTTTGGGTGGCGGGAAAGTATTATACAATTAAATATAGAAAAATCGCTGCAGATGTTATTTTACGTAAGTGAGTTATCACCCTTGGTAAACTGCACTCTCAAAAGATCATGTATAGCGTCAAACCAACCAATCACTAGCCAGAATATTTTGGCGCCAATTATAAAGAACGCTATTTATTCAGTTCTGAAGCTCTTCCTTTTTTCTGACTAGATTTGCAAAGTTGTCTATGATTCTACCTGTAGTTTTGACATGAGAGCTGTACTATATTAGTACGTAAACGAAACCATTCTTAACCAAGGACTTAAGTGTCTTTATAATATATAGCCGCAAACAGAACAATTTGTTTGCAACAAGAACTATTATTTCAATAATATTTGTATCTATCAATTTCAATATTATTCCTTTTAGCTTTTAATTTGTGTTCCATGTTCTTCTTGTGTTGATATTATTTGCGGCTTAAATCGCCATAAAACTAAATTTGTCATTTTTAAAAGTAAAAAAATATGCTCAATCAAGTGGGAACATCCTGAAAATTTGCCCCGAACCTTAAAAATAAATGAATAAAACTAAAAAAGAAATGTTTGAAGGGAGTTGGTGCTTCCATAATTTAAGAAAATGTTATTTTCTTTCAGATTTGACGGGAAAAACTCTACACTAAATATTTACTTAAAAAAATAGTTATAATTTTTCAGTGTCATTTTAAATTCATCTCGTTACTGTTCGTAATAAGCAAAGTATTAAATACATACATGTTGAAAGAATCGAAAAATATAAAGGTTAATTCTATGTTTGAATCTGAAATATTTTCTAAAATAATTTTATCTTTTTTCTTCGGTTTTACAACTATTAGAACATTACTTGTATGGAGGTTCAAAAAGGAAGTAATACTGTAACTGCAATCAATTAACAGTATCTATTCAATAATTCTTTATCAATTTTTGGGTGATAGTCTACATGCACTTTGTAGGTGATAGTAGAAGGCTATAGAACACAGTCTGTTCTGTTATTTACCCATAGCTGGGGGAAGAGGATTCATAACGTGCTATTACCCTTTCCCAAGAGTATTTGTAGAGGTGGAATCGAACCTACGTTACAAGACCGGAAATGGTCTTGGCGTCAATATAATGGCGATTCGACTTTACGGCAACGACTATCAAATTCGTCTCGCTGACCTTCATGGCGTCGCCGAATCCGAGTTGGAATATGGACGAACAAACACAGCAGACATTACTTCGACAGCTCATCGAGCTACAGCAAGAGATCATCGCCCTGCGAAGAGACGGAGGACAGCCGAGAAAGTCACTCAAGGAGACCTCACTTAATAGAACCGGACTCAAGTGATGGTGAAATTTAATAATTTGTGGGGTTGACTTTTAAGAAACAAATCTCTTCGACAAACTTAAACTCCGTCATTAAGAGCTAATCACATAAAGCTCAGTAGCCGTCAGAAGCCTACACAAAGAAGTGTACCGGCAAGCTGGTACCACTTCCATGTTTATTAAACAAATGGTGGCTGGGCTGAAACCTGGAGCATCAAAGCAAGGTGTTGTCTTGCGACACTTACGACACTTTGTCAGCCTAGAGACCACGGACAAGTCTTCTCCATAGTAATGTATTACAACGAGTTTAGGCAGCGGCCTCGGGAGAACCAGACCGTATCAAACCCCGAGAGACACTTTAAATGGTGGGAAGAGCTCACACCCGGACGGCTTCGAACGAAGGGGTTGCCCAGCAGCAAAGATGACTTGTCACAATTGCGGCTTAACCGGACATTTAAAAGGGTTTAAAACCGAAGTTTACAACGTTTTCACCACCCAAAGACACAAGAAGGGTCATCTGATCGTCCAAGATGGACAAGTGGAATCAACCTGACAAAACCAAAGGCCGTGCCGCACCTGATTCATCTTCCGAAGAGGTACGATCCACACCAACCCT